TATACGTTTATAAATAGCTGGTTACTTCAACTAAATAAATTATTTAAATGAAAATAAAGTTATTAATTATAATATGATTATTTAAGATATTATTAATCATACAAGAACCTTCTAATTGTAAACAAATAATTAATTTATAAAAATATATATTAATATTTTAAATGAGATTTAGAATTTATAAACCTATTTTTATTAATAAACTAACTCTTTCAACTATTTTTTATAGACACAAATAACATTAAATTCAATATATAATAACTTTCTCAATTAAATCGCACCAAAATTAGGATTTGATAAAATTCAGCAATTTATTAATAATGCTTAATAAATAATAATTGATTAATAAACACTTATTAATAAGAAAATAGTAATTTCTGACACAACATCATATGCTAATTATTTTTAATAAATACAAGTTCTTATATTGTAAGCATAAATAATTTAAAATATTCAATAAGTTGATAGAGATTCATTTAATCTTAATTAAAACTAATTATTAGATATGTAATACATATAAATAATGTAAATAATATCGTAAAATTTGAATATGATTTAAATTACAAATGAAAATCCTATAAATGTTTTAAATATAATTACTTCACAAAAAATAACATTTAAAATTTTAAAAGAAAATTATTTGACATCAATTTCAGATGTATAAAAAGATGGTATAAATATAGACTAAAACTAAGAAAGTCTAACATACTAGGTAAATTATTTAGAATATCCTTCTTCTATAATTAAATATGATAATAATTTCCCTTACCCTAATAATCATCATTTTATCATAAATTAAAAGACAATAACATTTCTTTCAAATTAATAATAAACACCAATTAATATTCCTTTATAAAATGTTTACAATTTACCTTAAGCAGTAGATAACGTTGATGATTATTTTTGCATATAAAATATTTAAGACAAATGGATTACTTAAGATTGCTTACTTTTATATGATAGAAATGATTTAAATAAAACTACTTAATTTATATGTTAATGCTAAACCCAAGGAAAGTAAACTCTTGTTAATGACATAAACGGAATATTTAAAAAAAAAATTAATTCAAAAGATTGGTATTTGTATGCTTCTGTGTGGACTTTAGTTATCACTACTATAATTTATATTATTTCATTTATATATTTATAATAAATTGATAAAATTCAAGAGTCGTAAATGGATTAAAGTATGATAAAAAGAAATTAAATTAAAGATATTATTTTTAAAAATGATAATATATATGAAATAAATAAAAAATTATTAGCTAATATTTGTAAAAATGATGAATAAATTATAAAAATTGAAAATTAATATATTGAGAAAACTCCAAATTAAAAATAAAGTATTTAAAAAAAATATTATTTATAAAATCAAAATAAATTTTTATTGATTTGTATATTTAAGTTAGTTTTTATTTAATTTAATATTTATATCAAAAAAATGAAAAATAATTTGATAAATAATAATAAATAGATAATTTATAACAACTAATATAATTTTTTTTATATAATATATTTTTTTTAATTAATTTTTATAGATACTTAAGCTGAATTAAAATAGAACAAAGAGTTTTTTAAGAGTAATAAACAAATAAAATCTTTGATTTTAATGAATTATAATATTAAAATATTGCAATAAAAAATGATAATGATGCATAATCAAATAATATATTAGGTTCTTAGAACCTATAATAGTAATAATCAGAATAATAACATACGAATAAATAATAAACAATAGAACCTAATCCATTAATAAAAAGAAATTCTAAGCTTATTAATAGATAAACATATCAATTTTAATAAAAAGAAGATAAATAAATAATATAATAAGATAATATAGAAAATTTTATTAAAATTAAGATTAGTAATTTATCTCGTAAATAATAAATTTAAATTGGAATATAATAAAATAAAAAAGAAAATGGTATATAAACTTAAATCGATTAGTATAAAAATTAAAATGAAAAAAATTATTTGGCTAAAACCTAAAATAATGTTTAGATTAAAAGAAAAAAACATTAATTACATTTGAATCAGTTAGTAAATCTATAAAGCTAATTAGATTAAAATATAATAAATGAATAAAACAGCAAATAAAATAAAATATATTTTAATACATTAGATTAAAAAGAAGAACTAATGTATAATAAATAGTAATAATAATAGTAATAATAATAATAATAATGATAATAATAATAATAATAATAATAATAATAATTTAAACTTAAAACAAATGTAATTAATAAATAAATTAATTTTTTATTTTAAAAAAATAATAAAATTTATAATGATAATTAAGTAAATGAACTTAGTATATTTTCATATTAAAGTAGATTTATGACAATTATAGGTTTACATGAGTTAATTTAAATATTTATTTGTTTTAATTAGTATTTAAGGAGAACTTTTAGAATAACTTTATAATATTTAAAATATATAATACTTATTACTGCTAATTCTATTATATTTAATGATTTAAAGTTTATATAAAAAATATTTGCTAATATATTGATATTATTAATTATTAATTAATTCAATATTTTACTAGAAAGTTTTTATAAAAAAAATATAAAATATTAAAACTTTTGTCTTGTTTCTTTTTAATTTTAATAGCAATAATTTGTTATTACTAAAATTATATTAATATTTAAAAATAATTCAATAAAATATATAATAATTGGTTGCCTTTTTATTTAATAGCAATATTTTTTGATATATTTTTATTTATTAAATTACTTCTGCATTTATTTAATAAAAATTAATATAATAATTAATATAAGGAAAATTTTATGGATAATAGATATGGATAAAAGAATAATTATTTAATATTTATAATATAGAAAATTAGATTATGAATATTTATAAAAAAAAATATAGAGAATGAACATTTTTTATATTGATATTTTTATATTAAAATAAAGTTATAAATTTTTATTATATATAAATATCTTTATTATTTATAAACAAATAATAAATATAAAATATAAATATAATATATATTTTTTAAATAATAAAAATAAGAAATAAAATTATATTATAAATGAATAAAAAAAAAAAATTATATATATAATAAATTAAAAAACTAATTAGTTAAATAAATAAATAAATAAATATATAAATATAATTATTTATTTATTTATTTATTTATTTATTTTTTTCTTTTATCTAATATTTTAAACATATTTTATTTTATTTTTAATAATAAAAAAATTTATTTTTAATTATGAATTTTATTAAAATAATTATTAAAAAAAAAAATATTTATAATAATATATAAAATATATTAAATATAAATATATTTATCATATTTATTATTTTTATATTTACATTAATATTAAATTTTTTAATAATATATATTTTTTTTTTATTATTTATAAATTATTTTTAATATATTTTTTTTTTATTTTTAATTTATTTTTTAATAATAAATTATCTTGATTTTTCAATTTATTATTATTATTTTTTATAGTTTTTTTTTTACATTATTTTTTTTTTATTACAAATTATGTATAAAATATTATTATTTTATTTATTTAAAGATTTTTTTAAAATAATCAATTATATAAAAAATAATTGATTATAATTAATTTTATTTTATACAAATTTTACTAAATTTTTTAATACTTATATTAAATATTTGTATAGATTAAAATAATTTTAAATAAAGTCTTATTTTAGTGTTGCTTTTGGAGTTAATTCATTTTTTTTTTAAATAAAATCTAAATTTAGATAATTTTGTCAAGTAATTAAAGAAAGTTAATAATCCCTTTTTTTTAATAATAAAACTATGAATAACCAGAAAAATATAATCTAATGAAGAATATTTAGAAATATTATCACAAAAAATTTAAGAATTAATTAAATTAAACAAAAGTACTTATAAAGGTAAAAAAATGGTAATAAACTTTTAATAACTACAGATTTAAATAAAAGATTTTAATAGAATTAAAATTTATCCAAATTAATTAGAAAACTATAATTTAAGAAATAAGATTTCTTGATAATGCTATTTGTGAAATAAAAAAAGTTCTTAATTAATTTTATATTTATTAAAAATAAAAATAAAAATTATATTATTATATATAAAATATATTTATTATTAATTTCAATATTTTAAAGATATATTAATTTATTTTATTTAAAATACATATAATAAAACTTTTATTAATGCAAATTCTTTATTTTATGTAAAAAATAAATTAAAAAATTTATATTAACAAATAAAATAAGAAAATTATGATTATGGACCAAGTTAATTAATATAAAATTCAAAAAAATGGTTAAGAGCAGCCCTCGTTTGCACAATTATTTCGATCCATAATAAATTAGAGCCTTAATAGTAACATAAGATAGTTTTTCTCCTGGTTTAAATGTAGTTATAAGAGAAATAGTTTAACATTTAAATTATAATTATAAAGTTAATTAAATATATGGGGCTAAATATCGATTTAAAGGCATTTATAAGGAAGAATATATAAAATTATCACCTGAAGTAATTAATTTTGTTCATCATAAAGGAGGGACATTTTTGGGTACATCCAGAACAGGATTTAATAAAGACAAAATAATTGAAGGATTAATTAATTGTATGTCATTTGCTATAGAAGTACATTTATTTATCGTAAAATAAAAAATTATTTTTAAATAAAGGAAGTTTGTTTACCGCATATATTAGAATTATATTATGAAGTTAGAAAAAGAAAACTAAATATTGCAATTTGTAATATTCCAAGAATTGTAGATAATGATATTCCTTTTTCAGATGAATCTTTTGGCTATAATAGTGCAATTAAAGTATTAAAATATTAATATTTATTTAGTATTGACATTTTTTTTTTATAAATCTTAAAGAATTTTTGAAAGTGCTTAAAATATGTTAACTAATATGTTAAAAAAAAGGACTCTGATATACAGTTTTTTTTGAAGGAATAAGTAAACATATATTTTTTATTTAGCTTATTTTTAATTTAAAAAAAGATAAATCTTTTTTGGATGTTGATGAAGTTCATTTGATATATGAAAGTTTTTACTTTCTGAAATATAGAGCTATTGTGATTAATAAGGATATTAAAGCTAATGCTTATTATGTTAACCTTTGCATGTTTATATTTTTTTCTTTTATTTTAAAATAAATAACTGTTTATTATAAATTAATTAATAAAAATAGTGCAATTAGTTAAAATTCTGTACATGGTTTAATAGCTGTATTTACTGGATTTTAAATAGGGCATGCCCATAATAGAATAAACTAAAAAAAGAAAAATATTTTGTTATATACCATTAGAAAATATGTTAATCGGTAACGTTAGAAACAGAATAACAAGTAGTAACGGTGATTGGTAAAAGTTGCTTGCTTCTACTAGTTAACCTTTATTTAGGTACTGAAGATTTAATAATTTAATGATAGTATTTATTTATAAGAATTAAAAAAAAAAACATATTTAGTTATAAACAAACAAAATATTAAAAAATTTAATATAAATAAAAATTTAAATAAGTTATACCAAATATTTTGGATTATTTTATCCTAAATTTATCTGAAGGCCTATAAATTATTTGGAGAATAAAAAAATTATTTGAATATAAATAGATTTTATCAATTTTTTTTTATAAATATTACATAAAATTTTTCATATTTAAAATAAAAATATTACTTTTTTTTAATTTTATATAATTCGAATTTTTAAAAATTTTAACTAATTTAATTCATTTTTGTTAAAAAATTTAATGATTTTAAATTTTTATAAATAATTGTACAAGTCATTTAAACTAAAATTATCATTTACTCGAACTCAAAATATTATTGCAGTACAACAAAATTGAAAAAGTTATTTAGACTTAAAAAAATGTGTTTTGTAACTAATTTAAGATAAAATTTAGATATTTGCCTCTTGAAATCTAATAATATCATAATATATATAAATAGTAAATTCTTAAATAAATGTGAGTATTATATTAATATAAAAAGAGAAAGATAAAAATATGTATAAGCCATCCTTATTAAAATGATAAACTTATTTTACTATATTATTTGTTTATTTAATATTTATAATAGAAAATTTCTTTTTTTCTTTCCAAAAAACTAATATAATTAAAATATTTATTAAATATTCAATTTCAAAATAATTAATAATTTTAAATTCATATGAAATCTTAATTATAAGAATTAAATCTATTCCATGAATAAATGTTTATTTTGAATTAAAAATATATAAATTATATATATATATATTTTTTAATTTTTTATTTACTTTGCTAATTTATTGAACTTTAAAATTTTTTGAGATTAGTTTAATTTTCTTCATATTTTTTAAGTTTTATATTTTTTAAAAGAATGAGAAAGTAGTATTTAATTTTTGAAAATTTCAATTTCCATAATTAAATTTATTTTTAAATTGCATGTATTAAAATAAAAAGCCTATAATTTTTTGATAAATTTTTATAAGTTATTAATCAAAGTAAAAAATTATATGCTTGCGATTCTAAAAATATATACTATTATTTATTATAATTATTTATAATCTTTATAAATATTTACATTTTTAAAAAAAAATTATTATATTAATATTATATATATTTAACTTATAAATTTTTCATAAAAAATTATATTAAAAAAAGTATATAAATTATTAGTTTTATTTTTTTAATTTAAAATAAAAAAAATTACAAAAAATAATTAATAAATTATATCACTATCATAAATATAAATCCTTATAATTCTGATATAAAAAATAATTATTTAAAATAAAAAATCTATTTTAATATTTAAAAAAAAAAAAATATTTATATTAAAAATAAATTATGTTTATAATAATTTTTTTTTATATTTTTATTTAAACAAATTATAAATGTAAGTTTATTTTATTTTAATTTTTTTGTAAAAAAAAAATATTATTGTTCATTGTATTTTTTTTTATATGTAATTTTATTTTAAAACTTAATCTTAAAAAAATAATTTTAATAATTAATTTTTTTATTTAATTTTTTTTTTATATATAAACAAATAATAAAATATCTTTTATATTATTTTATAAGAGAAAAAAAATTATATTAGAAATGAATATTGAAATTTTTAAATAATTAAAAAAAGAAAATAATAATTTATGAATAAATAATAAATATAATTTTTAATACAATATATTTATTTTTTTATTTATTTAAATTGCTTTTATTATTTTATATCTTTCTTTAAAATATAACAAATTTATTTATTATTAATAACAAATAAAACTTATATTGTATTGTGACAATGTAAAAAAAAAAATTATTATATTATTTTTACAATGTTGTATATTTTATTGTACATTACTTATGTAAAAAAATATATATTTTTAAATTATTTAAGTAAAAAAAATAAAATGTATAATTAAAAAAAAATATTTTTCTTTATCTAACATTTTTGATATAATATATAATAAATAATATAAAAAAATTGTATACAATATACATAAATAAAAGCAAAAAGAAATTATTATTATTATATATATATTAAAATGAAAAATAAAATATGTAAAATTTTATAAATGAGTTCTAAATATTATTTTATTTCAGGAAAAAAAATAATAAATAAATATGTATTTATATTATATTTATATTTATATTTATAATTATATTTATATTTATATTTATATTTATATTTATAATTTATATAGACTTAAATAATTTATTTATTATTAAAAAATTATTTTTATATATATTATTATTATTGTTTTTATATATATATATTTTTTTTTTATTTTATCTAAATATTTAATTAATAAAATAAATTTCTTTTTTAATTTTATATATAATTTTTTTTCTTATCAAATTAATAATAATAATATTTTTTTATATAAATTATAAATATACTATGAAATTTTTTTTATTAATTATTAATATTTTTGTTTTGTTTTGTTTTGTTTACATATATTTTTTTCTATTTTTAAAATATTATTTATATTTTGACTAATTATTTTATTAAAATAATAATTAAAAACTTATTTAAATCATATATAAAAAAAATAATGGATTATTTTAAAATTAACAATATTTTTAAATTTATTATAATAATATTAACTTTATTATAAATTCTTAATTTTTAAACAAAAACTCTAATTCGTTAATGTTTTATGTCATAAATTTTTTCTACTGATGATGTTTTTGATTGTGATTTTAATGTTTATAATTCAATAGGATCAGAAATTGTTTATTAATGTGGTTTAAAAACTATTATAGGAGGATTTTAATAATGTGGAAATAATTGTATTATACATTTTAATGATAAATACAGAAAACCTATATATAGTTTGTCAATTAGCTTTTTATATATAATGATTGATTCCTGGAATCCTGGTGTGGATTTTTTGTCTATTTAAATAAATGGAGTTATTTTTACAAAATTATATAAAAATGTTGCTTCTACAAATACATGTGGAAAAAATGATCTAAATGAAGAATATTAATAAGCGAATATCGATTTTAAAACTAATTAATAAAGCATTGATATTCAAATTACTAGCAATTTTAAAACTGGTATGGAATCGAATATAAGATCTTTTGGAATTACTGAATTTACTATTTATGTTTTTGAATGTATGCCTTAATGTGCTAAATGTAATGACGGTACTTCTTGCAGTTCTTGTTTGAGAGGCTAGTATTTAAATATAGATAATTGTTAAAATTGTATTGCAGGATGCTATAAATGTACTGATGGAATTTCTTGTGATTAATGCAAAATTGGATATTTTTAAAATGATTCTTAATGCGTTACTTCATGCCCAAAAAGAAAATATGTAGATAAATCATCAGTAATTTGTAAAGATTGTAATAGTAAATGTGCAACTTGTTCTAATGCGACTGATTGTGATACATGTTTTGGGAATAGGGTTGCACCTGCTTGTGAATGCCCTGCTCATAGCTATGATAATTTGAATTACACATTAGCTTGTATTGAATGCTCTACTATATCTAGTGGATGTTCTACTTGTAACGCTACTACATGCTAAACATGTCTATCGACGCATTTTTTAGATGGAAATTCATGTGTAATAACCTGTCCTTCAGGTAAATGGGGAAATACGGTGAATAGATAATGTACAGCTTGCTTAGCTAAATGTGCAACTTGTTCTAATGCGACTGATTGTGATACATGTTTTTAAAATAGGGTTGCACCTGCTTGTGAATGCCCTGCTCATAGCTATGATAATTTGAATTACACATTAGCTTGTATTGAATGCTCTACTATATCTAGTGGATGTTCTACTTGTAACGCTACTACATGCTAAACATGTCTATCGACGCATTTTTTAGATGTAAATTCATGTGTAATAACCTGTCCTTCAGGTAAATGGGGAAATACGGTGAATAGATAATGTACAGCTTGCTTAGCTAAATGTGCAACTTGTTCTAATGCGACTGATTGTGATACATGTTTTGGGAATAGGGTTCCTTAATAATGTAATTGTCCTTAATATTCTTATGATCCTAATATTTTCAATTAAGCCTGTACTATCTGTTCTACTTTTTCAACTGGATGTGTTTCTTGCAGTTCAACAGAATGTCTTATATGTAAAACTCCTTAATATTTTTAATTAAACTAAAATAAATAATGCGATTCATGCTTAAATATAATGACTAAAATACATTTTAGTTTTGATTTTTTAGATTTAATTATAGATTTTGATTATTATTATGATAATTTGTAAATTGATCTTATTATATCTAATTTAGATTTCTAAAATTATTCGTCTTAATTATAATTTACAAATTAACTTTGTATAGAAACATTGGACTAAAATTTTATTACTTCTAAATTATAAGGAAATATTTTATGTTCTTTTGATAGATATTTAAAAACACTTATACTTAAGCTTGATACTGTAAGTACTATTAATAAAGATGATATAATAAAAATAAAACCTGGTGTGTTTAAGCTAACAAATAACGGATTTGTTTGTACTGATTTTCTTTAATAAATAACTGGAAAAGTAAGTTTAGACACAAATCTAGTTATAAAATTAACTTAAACAAGTCCTATTTTCATATGTTAATAAGCATAAATAATAATATAATGTATTTTTAATTGTGGTAATAAATAATTAAAATAAATTACTTGGTCTCTGATTTCTTCTAATGTAAATACGGTAAATGAAATTAATTTAATAAATACGCAAATTCAATAATAAAATAACTAATACTTTTTATAAATACCGCCTTTATAATTGAAAAAATAAGGATAATACTAATTCTAAGTTGATGTAGTTTCCTAATTTAACTAAGCAGCAACTGCAAATGCAATAATATAAACTTTATAAGACACATCGATAGACATAAGAGTAAAAACAAATCCAAACTAAATTTATAGAAGTAATTTAGTTAAAGTAAATGTTTATTTTAATCTTTTATAATGTGAAGATGATGGAAAAATATCTTATCAATAAGAAGATGTTTATCAAATATAAATAAAATAAAATGACAATTTAACTGAATCATTAAATATTGATTCCACATAATATGTTTAAGGAACTTAATCTTAATTTGAAATTTAACCTTTTGTTATGAAAGTTAATACAACATATAATATATAAATTACAGCTTCTTTAAAATCTGATCCAAATATTACTTAATAAATATTATACTCAATATAAGTTCTTGCTGATTCTCCTTTGGTTTAACTTTTAGGAGGAAATAGATAATAATTATATTCTTAAAGCTTTAATCTTGAAGGAAAAGTAGATGACCCTAATTTATCCTCTAGTGAAAAAATTTCATTAAAAGAAACTAATTATGGAATAGATTTAAATTGGTAATGCATAAGTCTAAGTACAGGAGATAAGTGTAGAGATTCATTGAATAATTTAATTGTATCTGAATCTACATAAAACATATAAATTACCATATAAAAGAAAATATTATAGGCTTATTAATAATATTAATTTAAACTATCAGGCACAAAAAATGGAATAACCGTTTTTGATTAAATAATAATATTAATAGTTGATTATGATGTTCCTTCTGTTTATCCTACTATTTCTATTAATAACTCTTAAAATAGAATAAATTTAAATTAAGAAATATTAACTTAATTTGATTATCAAGGGATTAAAAATGCTGATAACTTAATAATTACAGGAGTTATTTCATATTAGTATTATTAAAAGAATATAATATCAATATCTCATAACTAATTTAGATTTTAAGTTTGGGAATTATTATTCGATTTTTTAAGAGAAAATTAAAATTAATTTGAATTAAAATTTTCAATTAGAAATATAGATTTAATAGTACCTACATTAATTTCTTATACTTTACATGCTAACATACCTCTGTACTTTTGATTAAACTGCAGGTTTTAAAGTTAGAAATTTGTAAGATAAATAAATTCTATAAATAAACGGATGTATTGATTTTGATCAACCTTTATCTTATTTACTTTCTATTTTTATAAAAATTAAGACGATTATAATAACGAATTATAAAATCCATAATATATTAATAGGCATTTATTATCTGATTTCTCACCAAAAAATAATATTGAAATTGTTTTACCTCTTGGTGTTTCTTTAATTATGGGAGTAATATAGGATTCAAAAGAAGGAATAAGAAATATAACTTAAAATATTACAGTAAATTAATAGTATATAGAAAGTTCTTCATATTATACATTTATAAATAGTTGGTTTGCTTAAACTAAATAAAATTATTTAAATGAAAATAAAGTTATTAATTATAATATGATTATTTAAGATATTATTAATCATACAAGAACCTCTAATTGTAAACAAATAATTAATTTATAAAAATATATATTAATATTTTAAATGAGATTTAGAATTTATAAACCTATTTTTATTAATAAACTAACTCTTTCAACTATTTTTTATAGACACAAATAACATTAAATTCAATATATAATAACTTTCTCAACTAAATCGCACCAAAATTAGGATTTGATAGAATTCAGCAATTTATTAATAATGCTTAATAAATAATAATTGATTAATAAGCACTTATTAATAAGAAAATAGTAATTTCTGACACAACATCATATGCTAATTATTTATAATAAATACAAGTTCTTATATTGTAAGCATAAATAATTTAAAATATTCAATAAGTTGATAGAGATTCATTTAATTTTAATTAAAACAAATTATTAGATATGTAATACATATAAATAATGTAAATGATATAGTAAAATTTGAATATGATTTAAATTCCAAATGAAAATCCTATAAAAGTTTTAAATATAATTACTTCACAAAAAATAACATTTAAAATTCTAAAAGAAAAGTATTTGACATTAATTTCAGATGTATAAAAAGATGGTATAAATATAGACTAAAACTAAGAAAGTCTAACATACTAGGTAAATTATTTAGAATATCCTTCTTCTGTAATTAAATATGATACAAATTTTCCTTACCCTAATAATCATTCTTTTATCATAAATGAAAAGAAAATAACCTTTCTTTAAAATTAATAATAAACACCTATTAATATTCCTTTATAAAACGTTTACGTTTTACCTTAAGCAGTAGATGATGTTGATGATTATTTTTGCATATAAAATATTTAAGATAAATGGATTACTTAAGATTGCTTACTTTTAAATTATAGAAATGATTAAAATAAAATTAATTAATTTATATGTTAATGTAAAACCCAAGGAAAATAAACTCTTGTTAATGACATAAATGGAATATTTAAAAAAAAGATTCGTCAAAAGATTGGTATTTGTATGCTTCTGTGTGGACTTTAGTTATCACTACTATAATTTATATTATTTCATTTATATATTTATAATAAATTGATAAAATTCAAGAGTCGTAAATGGATTAAAGTATGATAAAAAGAAATTAAATTAAAGATATTATTTTTAAAAATGATAATATATATGAAATAAATAAAAAATTATTAGCTAATATTTGTAAAAATGATGAATAAATTATAAAAATTGAAAATTAATATATTGAGAAAACTCCAAATTAAAAATAAAGTATTTAAAAAAAATATTATTTATAAAATCAAAATAAATTTTTATTGATTTGTATATTTAAGTTAGTTTTTATTTAATTTAATATTTATATCAAAAAAAATGAAAAAATAATTTGATAAATAATAATAAATAGATAATTTATTAACAACTAATATAATTTTTTTTTATTATAATATATTTTTTTTTAATTTAATTTTTATAGATACTTAAGCTGAATTAAAATAGAACAAAGAGTTTTTTTAAAGTAATTAACAAATAAAATCTTTGATTTTAAATGAATTATAATATTAAAATATTGCAATAAAAAATGATAATGATGCATAATCAAATAATATATTAGGTTCTTAGAACCTATAATAGTAATAATCAGAATAATAACATACGAATAAATAATAAACAATAGAACCTAATCCATTAATAAAAAGAAATTCTAAGCTTATTAATAGATAAACATATCAATTTTAATAAAAAGAAGATAAATAAATAATATAATAAGATAATATAGAAAATTTTATTAAAATTAAGATTAGTAATTTATCTCGTAAATAATAAATTTAAATTGGAATATAATAAAATAAAAAAGAAAATGGTATATAAACTTAAATCGATTAGTATAAAAATTAAAATGAAAAAAATTATTTGGCTAAAACCTAAAA